ATGTGAGGCCCACAGGGTCCCTGACTGCCTATTTGCACATAGTGTTGAGTTTTGGTTTCTCAATCTGTAGAACAAATTATTTAAACTAGATTTTATGATTCCTTCTAGCTGTGAAATCTGATAATTTCAGAAACTTTGTGGAGGCTTGATGTAGTAGTTACCTTTTCCCTGTGCTCCTCTCCCGTCCTCCACGGCAGCGATCAGATACCTGGGGTCACAGCTCAGACCAACTGAGTCAGAATCTCTAGGGTTGCAGTCTGGATGTATCCTTTATAGTTTAACTACATAAATAAGTAAAGAGAAGTAAAAACCAGTCTGTACATAATTTGGAAAGCTCCATAGCACTAGATTTGTCTGGGTTAATTTAAAAGTATTTATTCCTAAGAAATGTGCCATCTCATCATGAGTTTCAGAACTATGTACGATGAGAACTTTTAGAAAAATTTAATGAGAATATTTATATGAGAACATTACATGCTTAAGAATTTTTATCTGCAGGAGTTTACACACAACACAACATTGTCTCCTGGAAGTAATTTCATACTTTGTGATCAGTTATTCTTGATTGCGGTATGAGACCTAACTACCTGTCAGTACAGTGCTTTTCAGTCAGCTGTGTGGTACTTGAAGGAGCCCTGGTGGCACAGTGGTTAAAGCGCTTGGCTCCTAAGTGAAAGGTTGACGGTTCGAATCCACCAGCTGCTCTGCAGGAGAATTATGTGGCAGTCTGCCTCTGTAAAGATTATAGCCTTGGAAACCCTATGGGGCAATTCTCCTCTGTCCTATAGCGTGACTGTGAGTTAGAATCTACTTGACAGCAGCGGGTTTGGGTTTGGGTTTGGGTTTGGTGTGGTGCTTACGGACTCAGATGTCTTGGTTTCTCTTTCTCTCAGCGTTGTGACTGTTGTTAGTGTTTGAGGGAATGGTAGGTAGAGGTGGTTTTCCAGCTCTTAGCTTTTTCAAAGAATCTTGTCAGCCTCTGTTTTTGCCTCTCGTATTCTTTGGTTTAGTTCTGTTAACTGTATTATCTGCTTTTCTTTGCTTTTGCCTAAGAGAAGCAAATTAGTATGCTTCAACTTTTCTGTACTCTTCTTATTTTTCTCTTCCTGGCCAACTTCTGCCCCACTGCTTCGTGCTGTGCAAATGTTGTTAAACAGAAATCTTTCCTGTTGAACGTTGATTGAACAACAAAACTTATGCTTCAAAATGCAAGCTATATTTTTAGCTTGGCAAAAGAGGTTGATTTTACAAAGTCAGTAAAATTTTTTGTTTGTTTTTTTAAATAAAAAAGCCCAGTGTACTTTATCTTGGTGCATTCAAACTGCCTACATCTCTGCTCCTGTTGGGACCTGGCAGTTCTTGACCAGACCTAGTCCATGTCATGGGGAGGTCTCTTTCTTCATTAGTAAATGTGATATTTATTGAAGTTTGTTTTCCTTTTTCAAATAGTTACCTTCTTGGCATGGTAATGGGTGGGCGAATGTTGAAAGTACAACAACAAATGTGTTAATATGGCCACAGCTGAAGCGGACATGGAGCTGGACGTGAAGGAAGCTCAACACTGATGTCAGGGGAGCTGTGAGAACTCTGGGCTCTTAGCAGCAGCCGTCTCTGAGTACCTCTTTCTGTGCAGGCTTAGCGATCCACGGAGTTCACATTTAGTGAGATGTGTACTTTTTCTTTCTGTTGGAGTTATACAAGTATTTATGGGGACTCTCCCAGGTTTCTTTTTTCTTGTTTGCACTAATAGTTGCACTTACAGTGGCAATTTTAAATATAATTGACTTTTTAAGTCCACATAGAAAATAAAATAATTTCTGGCTATGTATTTATAAAGCTTTTTATTTATTATTGCTTGTATTTCTTGATTATTGTTAAAATAAATTGAAGAATATACTAAAAACTGAGTGCAACTGACATAAATTTACTGTTATCATTCCAAATCCCAATTTGTCTGCAGCTGCCTTTGGATTGATGACACTGATCTAGAAGTTTTTAAGCATCTTTAAATCTTTCCCAGGTAGAGTGTAAGATATTCTGATCAGTGCTTATGAAACAGCAGCTGGGGTGGTAGACAACATGATACGAGTTCTTCTAATTAGTTTTAATCCAGGAACATCCTTATATTTATTCTTCATGCAATAATATCTTCATATATTGCCCTTTACATTAGGAAGACTGACCGCATCTATGTTGAAAATTACTTAGCGCGCTTTAATGGTGGGTGCTGGGAAGATGAACTGAGATCAAGACACTGAAATTCCTCCTTTGTAATATTTTTCCTACATCTTTTTATTTCTATTACTACTGCTTCCTTTCAACTTTAAGCCCTTATTCCTGTATTATAATAATGTATCGTTTTGTTGTTGTTGTCAGGTGCCTTCTAGTTGGTTCCGACTCATAGCGACCTCGTGTACAACAGAACGAAACACTGCCCTGTCCTGCGCCATCCTCACAATCCTTGCTGTGTTTGAGCCTGTTGTTGCAGCCACTGTGTCAGTCCATCTCATCGAGGGTCTTCCTCTTTTTCACTGACCCTCTACTTTACCAAGCTTGATGTCCTTCTCCAGGGACTCGTCCCTCCTGATAACACGTCTAAGTACATGAGACTAAGTCTTGCCGCCCTCGCTTCTAAGGAGCATTCTGGCTGTACTTCTTCCAAGACAGACTTGTTTGTTTTTCTGTCAGTCCATAATATATTCAGTATTCTTCGCCAGTACCATAATTCAAAGGCATCCATTTTTCTTCAGTCTTCCCTGTTCATTGTGCGGCTTTCGCATGCATATGAGGTGATTGAAAATATCATTGCTTGAGTCAGGCACACCTTAGTCCTCAAAGTGACATGCTTTTCAACACTTTAAAGAGGTCTTTTGCGGCAGATTTGCCTGTCGCAGTATGACTGCTGCTTCCATGGGCATTGGTTGTGGATCCAAGTAGAATGAAATCCTTGACACCTTCAATCTTTTTCTTCGTTTATCATGATGTTGCTTATTGGTTCAGTTGTGAAAATTTTTTGTTTTCTTCATGTTGAGGTGTAATCCATACTGAAGGCTATAGTCTGACCTTCATCAGTAAGTCCATCAAGTCCTCTTCACTTTCAGCAAGCAAGGTTATGTCACCTGCATATCACAGGGTGTTGATGAGTCTTCCTCCAGTCCTGATGGCGCATTCTTCATATAGTCCAGTTTCTCAGATTATTTGCTCAACATACAGAGTGAATAAGTATGGTGAAAGGATACACCCTGATGTGTACCTTTCCTGATTTTAAACCACTCAGTATCCCCTTGTTCTGTTTGAACGACTGCCTCTTGGTCTATGTATAGGTTCTGCATGAGCACAAGTGAGTGTTCTGCCATTCTTCTCAATGTTATCCATAATCTGTTATGATCCAAAAAGGTGAATGCCTTTGCATAGTCAGTAAAACACAGATAAACATCTTTCTGGTATTCTCTGCTTTCAGCCAAGATCCATCTGACATCAGCAGTGATATTCCTTTTTCCATATCCTCTTCTGGATCCAGCTTAGTGCAAGTTTATCTCAGATTATCTCTACTATGTTCCAGTCTATTCTTCATGCCATCACCAAATTAATTGTTCTAAAACACTGCTTTGTTTCTGTCATTTCTGTGCTCAAAAGTTTTTCTTGGCCTCTGGAGTCTGGCCTCTATCTACCTTTCTGTTCTTACCTCTCAGTTTTAGTCTGACCACCCTATATGTTAGCCAAACTGACTAATTTTCTGTCTCTCAGCCCTGTCTGTAGCTTTTTGATTCTTGACACACATGCTGTTCCTACCATTAATGCTGTCCTTTCCCCCCTTTTTCCATCCTTCTCCAAGAATGTAAGTGTTTTTAAAGATCTGCTTAAATATGAACTCCCTTCTGGAACTTTCCCTACTAGAGGTAACTTCTCTTTCTTTATTAACTTGTTTATGTCTTGTGGATAATGAATAAAGGTGCTCCCTTCAAGTAAATTTCAGACCTATTTGCCACAATCAAGAGCACCTGATGGTGTCTCTGCACTGGACACACCTGGGATTCAGAGTGTGCACCAGCCCTGGTTAAAATGTTTTAGAGCAAATAAATGTGATCCCAGTAAGTTGTCAAAGTTTACGATGGCTTAGGGCGTATTTCCAGGGAATAATACAATTTTGAGAAATTTGGAATCTTAATTTTTTTCCTATAATATTTTATCAGAACTACACATTTGGATACTAATACTTTTCTCTTGGTCATGTGCTGAGTTAAGTAAAGTTATAGAAATGGTGTCACTAGGTCAGTGTTGTGATGCTGGTGGAGATTTTATTTTGTCTTAAGTCAGACTAGTTAAAATGGACTTGAAGTTAGCAGTTCTGTCTTCTGTCTTCTGTCTGTGGGAATAAAAATTAATATTTCTGTTTAAGGCTGTCAAGAGTTTGCACAGATGTTTGTGTCTGTTGGCTTCACACGTGTGTGTGTGTAAAAACACACATACGCCTTTTCTATCGTTACCATTAGACTATTGAAGTATGAAAAGGTACGCATCGCTCTTAAAAACCTGTAGAGAACATTTCAGTAACTTATGTCCTATCACTTAGAAAAACAGGACAGTACTTTTTAAAAAAAAACTAATGGGAGATGGGTTTATCACATGTATGAAACTAAATGAGGGATTTGACTTTTGACCTGTTCATCTGACCAAAAATCAAACCCATTGCCGTCGAGTCAGTTGCAACTCATGGCGAGCCTGTGGTAGCATCTAATTTAAGCAGTATGTTTTCTTTTTCATAAGCTAGTATCTCAACCACTGTTTTTAGAGAATTTAACTAGAATGTAAGTCCTCCAGGGCAGAGCCTTCTGCCTCTTTGTGTCCTTAACATCTAACCGATGTCTCACATCATAAGGCCTCAATAAATGGGTGTTAAAGATGTTTGGTTTTCTGGATTTTGGGGGGTTTGTTTTTATTGTGAAAGAATGACTTTACTTTGATTTTCTTTTTTTTTTTGGTTTGTTTTCTTTTTACAGCCCCATTGACAAATCGTCAGATTCTCTCAGTATAGGGAATGGTGATAATTCCCAGCAGGTAAGATTCTAGTACAGTACTGCTTCATTTATCATCTGTACCCTGAAAACAGAGTGTTCTGTGTGCGGGAATTTTCTAGATAGTGAAAAATACCTTAAATTCCAAAACAATTAAAGAACATGTTTGGTGGATGTCTTTTAAAAATTAGTCTTCTTTTCCTCCTCAAAATATATAGAGTATAAAGTAAGCCATTTTTGATGACTCAGTTATCATTATGACCATATATTAGTGTACTGTATGGTAATACATTGGAGTCCTTAGAGTCTGGTGATGTTACTGGCCCATTTGGCCTCAGTGGTCCCAGACTAGCATACCTTCTGAGTTGTTGCATTTCAGAGTTGTTTCCCCACCACGTGCTCCCCTCATCCCCTGCTCTCAACTTTAATTTCCTATTTCTGTCAGTGTACTTGCCCCTAACAGTTTTCTCTCTTGCTTCTCCCAATGACTGTCGGCTCTGGAATGATAAACCAGTTAAGCTGTTGACAGTTGCATCCACCATGTACTGAGTGAGGGCCTGACCTTTAGAGCATGCCTTGTGTCATCTCGTCTAGTTCCTCAGGGAACATTGTTCCTGCTTTTTTTTCCACTGCTTCAGTTTCTGCACATCTTCTTACATTGGTACCATAGATGTAGTTTTAATCTCTTCCGTAAAGAATGGCCAGTTCCCCACGGTGTTTGTAAACAACTTAGAGACCTTGAACTAGGTACTTTTCAAACTTTTTGCTCACAAATTCATTAAAGAATTTGAAAATCTGTATGTCCCCTTGCACATTTTGACAGTAAAATTATTTTAATAAGTTAAAAATGGTTGGGAAAGGTGTTATTTCCAGCATATCGTAAATATCAGCATTTTTGAATAAAAATGCCACAGTACTCTAAGATACTAAGTATAGAAAAAAAATTAAATATCACAGTGTTTCGATACCCCACTGTCCATTAAAGAATAGACACGCTCTTCTTTACCAGTCAGGAGTTCTACACCATTTCTTTTTCTCCTTGAACTCATCCTTTCATTTCTACTACCATTATAGACTTTTTTCTTAATGTGATATAGTTTATGTTTGAAAGGCATATACTTCTGTTAAAACAAAAACTGATCATCTAAATTGATATTTTTAATTGGGAAAAATTTTTTTTGCCGTCACAAGGCTTTAAACACCCAATTTTCTTTCTTCTAAATTTTTATAAGTAGTATTGAGTTGATCAAACCAACATATATATAGAGAGAGATTTTTATAAAGATTACATAATGGCTAAATATGAACGCTGACGTTATATTGGAAATGCATCTCTTAATGAGATGGGTAGGGCCATATTTAATTAGTTTTCGTGTATCCCTAAATGCACATTACCTACTGGTAGCATGAGATGATGCAGCAGCAATCCTGGTGAAGTTTTTCATTTTTTTAGATACATGTGCTGAGACACCTTATTCATAGAAATAAGTAGATGGAAGAAAAAGGAGTATTATTATATCATTATCACTCAAATCTTTGAAGTCTTTCTGAATTAAATACCTAAAGATTTATATAAAGATTTATCATAAAAATTACTTCTAATGGGCTGTCTGGGAAAAACTTGATTAGCTCTTTCTTCAGTTTGGTTGAACACAAGCTGTTGGAAATCATGTTGTTTGCAAGGAGATTCTATCATTAGAGTCACTCACTCTGTCACCAGCCTGAGTATTTCTAATAAATTGTTGTTTGGTCTCTAGAAAGTTTTTGTTCTTGGGCGTAATACCATAGTTAGGTCCCAGAGAGTGAGAAAGTCTTTTCTTTGTAAAATGAGAGAAGTAAGGTTATGAAAGGAGAGGAGACTGGCTTAATGCTTTTCAGGCAGATAAGTCTTAGAAAAGATACATCTGTAAGTTAATGATTTTACTGATTTTCTGAAAGTCCATGCTCTCATAAAAGTCTTCAAGTACCCTAGTTTGAAGACCACTCTTCCAATACATGTAGTCACACACCTTTTTAATTGTGACTTATTAAAATGTATAAGCTTGTACTGATTATTATGTTCTTTTCCTGTTTTATTCAGATATCTAACCGTGACACGCCTTCACCACCACCTGGTTTATGCAAATCCAATCCAGTCATCCCCATCAGTTCATCCAATCACAGTGCGCGGTCCCCCTTTGAAGGGGCAGTAACAGAGTCACAGTCGTTATTCTCAGACAACTTTCGCCACCCCAACCCTATCCCAAGTGGGCTTCCTCCTTTCCCCAGCTCCCCACAGACATCCAGTGACTGGCCAACAGCACCAGAACCTCAGAGCCTCTTCACCTCAGGTATACAGCAGTGCTGCCGAGTGCTCCTCGCTGTGCTCTTGACATGTCGATGACAGGCTAATGTGAAACCCACTGGTGGATATGTTTTTATCCTTTTTTCTCCCCACTCCCTGCTTCATAAAAATGTAAACATTTTAAACTGCACGGAATTAGGCAGTTAGATAAATCGCTGTATGACACAGAAATTACTGTTAACAGACAGATTTCTCCAGAAGTCAAGGGTTATATCCTCATTTTGGAGTCCCTGTGGCGCAGTCGTTCAAATACACCAGCTGCCCCTTGGAAACCCTATGGGGGCAGTTCTGCTCTGTCCTGTAGGGTCGCTGTAAGTTGGAATCAACTGGACAGCAGTGGGTTGTTTTTTTTTTAGGTTTTATCCTCATTTTACCCCCAGAATAAACAGCTTATTCCTCTGGGAAGACTGAGGACTTACATTTTTAATCAGATTTGTATTTGTTCAGTTAAATTTAAGACTTATTTCCCCAACTGATATAGAGCTAAGTTATTTAGTAGTAAAACTTGTGGTTTGGCATTTTTGAGCCATTTCCATTTTTATTCATTGTAAGTTTTCTTACTAATGTGAAGGATTGCATATTAAAGTAACATTGACAATAGCACCTCTGGAGCAGCCAATTTAAAAAACAAAAGACTATAAAGCTTAATATAAACAGACACTTTTCCCATTAAATTATGTTATTTTTTTCTTAATAGTATTGAAGCATATATTCGAAATTATTTATACATTAGCTTTGAAAAGTAGCATTTAAAAAATAAACTTTACTGATTGACATCTGCTAGATTTTATTATTTTATCTAAATGACTTATTCTGGGTTTTGATTATGAACAGTGGAGGGTGTAATTTTGCTTGATTAGCAAAATTCAGTGTATAGAATTCAGCTTTTGAAGTTAGTTGTATAAGAATGTGCTAGAAACAGCAACAAAATAAATTAAAAAAAAAAAGAATGTGCTAAAAGTATCTGAGACCTTTTTGTAATTACATAATCTTAGTGAATGTGCTGAGAAATATACTGGTTTTGCAGATATTTGCTTTAATCTTGTGATATGACACATTTAACTTTCAATAGTGTGGGTACCCATTAAGTCTGAAATTGAGCCATGTATTTTATACTAACCACAATTTTTCTTCCCCACAGAAACAATCCCAGTATCGTCCTCTACAGACTGGCAAGCAGCATTTGGCTTTGGTTCTTCTAAACAACCAGAGGATGACTTGGGGTTTGATCCCTTTGATGTCACTCGCAAAGCCTTAGCAGACCTGATTGAGAAAGAACTGTCGGTCCAAGACCAACCCTCGCTTTCGCCCACATCTCTCCAGAACACCTCCTCACACACTACAGCCGCCAAAAGTCCAGGCTCTGGGTTCCTGCATCCTGCTGCGCCTGCAAATGCCAACTCTCTCAACAGCACTTTTTCAGTCCTGCCACAGAGGTTCCCTCAATTTCAGCAGCACCGAGCGGTTTATAATTCGTTCAGTTTTCCAGGCCAGGCCGCCCGCTATCCTTGGATGGCCTTTCCACGCAATAGCATCATGCACTTGAACCACACAGCAAACCCCACCTCAAATAGTAATTTCTTGGACTTGAATCTCCCACCACAGCACAACACAGGTCTGGGAGGGATCCCTATAGCAGGTAGGTTCATTTAAAGCCTTTGAGAACTTGTAAATCACTTATGCCTTCAGGCTGTTGGGTGGTCAGGGAGGGGACTATTGAATAACAGAATTAGAGTACTTATTGTTAGTCTCTGAAATTTCTATGGGAAAAAAAAATTAAGGTCTTTATCATAATCTAAAATTTTTTAATTGGATGGATGCCTTGTAATATTGAGCTTTATAAGGATGGTGGAGTATTGTACCTAGTTATTGTTTGGAAGCATTTTACGTAATAGAACAGTTACCAACCTTTCATATGTCGTATAAAATGCAAAAAGAAAAAAGAAGAAAATGGGCTCTGAAACTATAGTGCTGTAAAGTTCAACACCATGGTAAAAATTCTGATTTTGTGTTCTAAACGTAACTGTTTCAAAAAAAAGAATATTAAGATGGTAATTAGTGAGAGCATGAGGGATAAAGCCACTCTAACTACTTTCGGCAGTTCCTTATTTTGACTGGTACACACATACACACATGCACACATGAACACGCATATCCCAAAACTGTGCTACTTATGAATAAAGTACGTAATATTTGAGAACTCTTATTATTAATGTTTCACAGACATATCGTATGTGCACAAATACGCTTTCTGTGAAAAAGAAATTGTTTAAGGAGCAATATTTTCCCTTTTGGTCTGCCATGTTTTTATTTATGGGGGAATATGTTAGGTTCCAATAAGTTTGATACCATAATACTTCTGGTTTTGTACTGCTGCCCTTGAAGGTTTCAGAACTTTGAGTTTTGAGATCCCATAGCGTTTTTATATCAGATGTCTTCTGTATCTAAGGAAATCCTTATTAATAGTAGTTTAGACTCAGATGCCTGGTGACAAGAAAGTTTGTTTCTCTCTTGATTCTCTCAAGTAGAGTAGAAGAGTCCCTCACTCTGTTGCATAGTTCATGTAATTTATCTTTATTCCTTGTCATGGCCTTTAGGGTATGGCACGGTGCAGTGTTACTGTAATAATGAGCTTTTACCAGGAAGGCATTGGTTCTTTCAACCTCTTGTTTTAAGCAAGGTTGATAGGTGGATTCACAGAGATCCATCAGAATTATTCGGCTTTATTCTCTTTGTGACCTACCACATTGCATTTGCAAGACAATTACCTGGGGTTAGAGAGTACAGTTTTGTGGCTGTTGGTACACTGAAGTTAACTTACCTAACAGTTGATAACACGGAAGTTAATTTATGTTGGCTTAACAGCACCTACCCTGGTGATTTGCACAGATGACGGGACTCAGTATCTGTTCATCTGATGTTGGTAGTTGGTAGGTAATCCAGAATGGCATTGTTCAGCCCTCTCCTTCTACATGAGATTCACTTGTGAAACACTCCGAAGTGTGCAGTTCCTGGTACTCCTCTTTTCTTCTTCCATTCAAGACAGCATATTAGAATGTAATTTTTTGTTTTGTTTTAATCATTTAGAAATGTGGAATTTTAATTGCTGGTAGTGTATCTCATAACAGGTTACAACATTTAAAAAGTTAAAGTTAAGTTCCCCTAAATATTCTAAACATTAAAATAAAGGACTGAACCAATTAAAAATGAGTAGTTTGGTTCCTGTTTGACCAACAGTGATCTAGGCCATGTGGGGAATACAAAGGAAATAGAAAATAGGGATACTCTTTTCAGGAACTTTACAGTGTAGTTGAAGAGATAAAATTGTATATGGAAGTGATGACTATGAGATACTGGAATCTGAGCGATAGCAGTGTGCCTCTAATTGTTGGGGAAGCTTTGTTAAAGATGTAGGAATTGATCTGGGCTGTGGTATTTTGCATTTGGGTTAGCAGGGGGAAAAGAAAGGCCTTTTATGTTGATGGAAACCTCCTGAATGTAGCCATAGAGGCAGAAATTAGTATGTCATTGCTCAGGAAGCGGTATACCTGCCTTCTCTAATGGGAGGCACTTGTATGGAGATAACAAAGGAGAGAAGGCGAACCCTGACAGCTGGCAGAACAGTGGGGACTTGATGTGATGGGGCAGGATGCCTTTGTAGAACTCCAGTTCTTAGCTGTCTTCATTTGGTACTTTTATTTGGCTTATTGCCTGACCATCTTTGATGAAGTATCAGTTCTTCCATTTTCAGAGTCATCAAATTGTCCCTTAGACGGAAGAGCAGTTCTAACCCAAGTATTTCAAGCCAGTAGTTACTCTGGAAATACCACAGTGGTGTTGAGAAATCACTGATTTGTGAATGTAGTTGTCGTCATGTTAGCTGTTTGAAATCTTCATCTAAAGTAGATACTTTCTGAAAAACTGGCACTAAATATGGCCCTATCTTTGTGGTTATTTATTTATTTATTTTCCTTTAAACACATAATACTCAACCATGAAGCATTAGAAACTTTTTTTCAAAAATTCCAAGAAGTCACCAGCTTTAGGTTCTGAATCGTTTTTTGTCGGGGAGGAGGTGGAGGGGAATTTATTTCAGATTTTTGGCTGTGCATACTTGGCTTGGTATTTAAATGGTGACTGTGGTTAAGCTCATCATTAGATTATTTTTAAGGCTTTAATGACTAGAGAAATTTTAGTTTTAACAAACCAAAATATTTGAAATCGTTATCAGAAGTTGCACCAGAATTCTCTCAAAGCTTATAAATATTTGGCAGATAACTCAAGAGACTGAATGTTTAGTTGAATAATTTTAGGTAAATGATTTAGAATTTTTGGTAACAATTAGAAATGACAGAGAGTGAAAATCTGGAAAACTCTTGTACATCTTAACTGTGTCTAATTTGAAGCAGTTAATAATATCTATCTAATACGTTTCAACCCCCCGGTTATAATTGAGTTGTACTTGAGTTGAACTGTTGAAAGGGTTCAACTTTGTAGCCTCTGGTAATTCTCATGGGACCTTCCACAGGGTAGCTGTTCATTCAGTGCCTGAGTGATCTAGAGTGCGGTCTCAGTGAGACCTGCTGCTTTAGAACACGCTCAGACACTGTTTTAGACTAGTGTTGCTCCACCCAGAGGCACCACCCTAGGAAAGGCACCTGGACTTATTCTTTAGAGATGCAAAGCTGAACAGGGTCCCTGACCTGTGGAAGTGCATATTCAGAGGTGGCAAACACCTACAGATGCAGATGCTGGGTTGTATCTGTTACGTATTAGTATTTACATTTTCATTTTTGGCTTGTTTCGGTTAATTATTAAGGGTTGCTGTATCTGAAACCTATCATGGGAAGGGCGGTTACCAGAGGTTTGACAGAAGTGTGACTTCCATTTCATTTTCCTAATTGAAAACATTTTTTTAAATGTTTAAAATTAGTTGTTTCCTTAATTAGGTAAAATCTTTGTAGCACCATTTTTTTGGGCAGCACATCCAGTTTGCTGAGTGTAGAAGGATTTTTGAAGTAACTATTCTTGGGGCAACACTTTGATTAACTGTAGCATGCCCATTCCGATCTTTATTATTGGAACCACGTACCTTTGTTATAAAAAGTGACTTCTCTTTTCCCAAAGGGAGACTTATCTGTCCAGCTCCTTCATTTTAGGAATGGCAGAACTGTGCCCTGGAGGTGAAATACCTTGTTAAGCGGCACGCATTCAGTTAGCATTGGCAGTGGAGTGAGAACCCGATCTCAAATCCAGTGACGGGATGACTTTCCCACTGACATCACTGATGCTCTCCTTCACCAGTAAAGATCACTGGCCTGCGCTGTGACTTGGCTTTCTTCCCGGAGAAATTGATGTTGCTCTCACACACTCGCAGTCCCCTTTACCACCAGTATCTATTCATGAGACAGTTGGCCCAGTTCAGGGATGTGGCAGATACAGAATGAAGTTCATTGGTGTGATGAAAATCAGTCTCTTGCTTAGTCCTCATTAGTCCTGTGTTCTCACCAAATACTCTAGTCCAAAGTGTGCTTCACGCAGCGGCCTTCTTGCTGTGTACTTGGGGCTTATAGGATCTTTGCCAACTTATTGAAAAACCAGGAAATAACCTGTTTTAAGGGTTGACTCTTTTTCATCACTTTGTCAGTTTTGCAGATTTATTTTTCAGGGAACTCTCTGTCAAGATTATTTGTATTCCATAATGCTAAAAATTCTGTGAAAAACAAAAAATAGTAAGTCGTAAGCATTGTGGTTTCAAGATATACTTAGAAAAATGTTTGATACTGTTTAGGATTGGATTTTTTTTCTGTGTTCTTGTTAATTCAGATTTTACTATGAGAGGACATTTTTCTTTAAAATTTCTTTGCGTCTGAATTAGCTATTTTAACAGTGACTTGATTGAGTTTTGGGTCATGTGTGAAACAAGTCACTTGTAGTCAAACAATTATCAATTATTAGGAGAACTGATCTCATTTTCTGTTTTGTTCTCTGACCTGGAAGTGGTCATCTCACTTTCAGTCAATTGGATCATTGTATTGTTAGCATCTTACTATTTTCCAGCACTTCAGAAGTCTAAATTCAGTTTTCTGATGCTATGTTTTAATAAGTTAATATTTAACATTTGTATCTAGTTTTCATTTTTCTAATGCACTATTTCTGTCTTTAAAGCATGGGTTTTGTAATTTTTTCCTTTAAAAAATTAGGTTTTCACATTCTGTAAATCAAGTTTCAATTTTTTCACAAAATGCTATTTACCATTAGAAAGATCTGTGTTTGTAAGGGTTCAATTGACTCGAAAAAGAATGGCTTCCTGGTCTGTTTTGTTTTGTTCCTTTTCTTGTTTTGTATGTTTATAACTCTGAATCTGTTTGTTCTTATCTCTGACATAGTATTAAAATTAAGGGTGTGTTTCGAGTATAACTACTTTCCAGGTACTTGATAAGTTTATATTTTTAAGATTCATGTCTTGTTTCACACCCGGATTCCAACCATTAAGCATGTATTTTATATATGTATCCGTATTCCAAGTATTGAAGTCATTTTTAAAAGGGACTGTTAACAAATCTAGTCACCCGTAACTAGACCATGACTGACTTTTCCACAGGGGAAGAAGAGGTGAAGGTTTCGACCATGCCACTGTCAACCTCTTCCCATTCATTACAACAAGGACAGCAGCCTCCAAGTCTCCACACTACTGTGGCCTGACAACAGGACTGAGAGGAGAGGATTAGACTCTGGGGTGCTTGCATGGGCAACCGGATTTTTGCATGATTCCTTTCTGATTTTGCATTTAATGTATATACCCAAAAGAGCCATTATAAACGTTCCTCCTGCCTACAACTAGTGTGTTACCTCATAGTTGCTAAAGTATTTCTGCATTAGGCCTTTACCGTAATTTATTAGCATAATAATTCTGGCATTGTTTCTCATGAGTGATATTATCTTTAACTCATACAAATAAACTTGTAGCACTAATTAAGATCCCAGATGAGATTAGCTAGAATTGTTCTTATTTTGGCTCTATTACTGAAAATATACAAAGGTAATGGTAGTTCCTTGTTTACTAATTTGTGAAAAAACAGTAATGTCCTAATCTGCTCCTGAAGAATTTGAAAATTAAGAAGATAATGTCTATTGGATTCTTTGGAAACTTGAGAAGAAAGAATACATATAAAACAAAACTGGTGGTGTGATTTAATGCTCAGAAGGACGTTGTCAGCAGTTGTTTCTAGTTGTATGGATTTATAGCCTGTATTGTGCGTCACGTGTGTAGAAACTGTTCTTGTTCTCTCTCATTTGCACATTTGCACTTTCTTTTTGAATGGTTGTTAATCATACATAGATGGTTAAAAAATACCTATGATAGTCTAAATGCAATATGATCTCTTTTATAATGCACTGCCTAGTATACCAGGAAATGCCTCAGAAACTGAATCTCAACTTAGAGTTGATTTATCAAAACCTTGAATATGGGCTGAACATTGTACGGGAGAAGCAACTGTAGTGGTATAACATTTTTATTGAACAAACAGTAGTTCTGTGGGTTATCTGTTTGGAAATTTCATTCTTTAATAATTAAACTGTGACAGTAAGACTGTGTTACAAGTACCTGACCAGAATCAGACTAAGGTGGTAGAGAAGAGACTGAGGATCCTCTAACATTAAGCCACTTAAGTTGTAATAGTTAACATTAGCTAGTCACAGAGAAGAGTGGAGTGCTTTGTTAGGACATAATGTAAAGTGATTTTTTAGATAATACAGAATTTCTTGAAATAGTTTTAAAACCGATAATAAAAGAAAAGAAACTGGACTCAGTTCTGAGCAGTGGACAAAAGCTAATTCAGAAAACCTGATTGTATTCCGCCTAAATTAAGCATCTGGGAGGAGAGGGGAAAGTCAGACTTCCTCTTGAGATTTTAAAAACAACTGTGATGAAAGATATACCTTAATTTGTTAAAAATAGTAAAGGGGCAGTGTGAATCACAAAAAGAAGCCTGAAGATTTAAAGTAATGATAATCATACAAACACTTTTGTTAAGCAGTGACACAGTGTCATGTCGGAGTAGAGTTTTCAAGGTTACCTCTCTCTCTAAAGTCTGATTACTTTCTAGTAGATATTATGAACAAATTAAATGGCTTTATCCTGAGGAATAGTGAGGCAGACTAAAAAATGTACTCTTGATGTCTTTAGATTGGGTTAGCTGAGGGTACAGAAAAAGCTAATACTCTAGCCATTTAAATTATTTTTTGTAAAATTCAGCATCAATGTCAGTCTCTAATTTGAATTAGAAGTGATTTTAGGATGACATTACAAGAAATTTGAAAATACAAATAAAACATTGTAGATTTATTAAATATCAGCCTTTTGTCATAGTTTAACTATGGCTTTCATTTTGTTGTAAGAGGCCAAGACTTCGCTCTCAGTGTCTTTTGTGGTGTGAGGGCTCCTGGACTTTGTTAAACTCCAGCTCCCTGTAAACAACCTGACTAGCTCATAGCTTTCTCCAGCTTTCATCACCTGGATCCTTTTACAAAGCGGTAATCAAGTGATTAGCTCCCCTTGACTCACTTCTTTGTGTTGAGAAATCTACCTGTTTACTTCTTTCCCGGAGTAGCTTTCTCTGCCCTTTCTCATCCACAGCCAGTGCAGAAAGACCAGCAGGTAGTTGGCCCGGCCCGGTCTGGCCTGAGCCCGGAATAAAATTCCTAACCTGTCTCCCTGCCTACATCTCTCCTTCCCCCTTCCAGCACCCTGTATATCAGGAAAATGCTTCTTGGGCATTTAGGCTTCAGTTTATCCGTTTATACACTGAATGGCTACAGATTATCCTTTAAATAGCTTTATAAATTCTAGACCTTGTAAGCCTAAGAATAATAAACCTTACCTTTTTGCTTAGTCGGTATTTCATATAGTATAGTTTTTAAAAAACAGAAGTTTAAAAATCATAGTTATAATGAATTTTACACTGAAGCACAGAAAAAAATTCACAACACAGTGAAGAAGGCATCACTTCACATAACAGGTGCTGTGACGAAACCAAATTATGGTAAAGGGTGAGAAATGATAAACAGCTTCAAGATAGTTTTTGATACATTTCTGCAGGAAGGATCTGTCCTCCACAAGGAAAACTATCTGCCTATATAACCTTAACCTTTTTAAACCAGGAATTTTTAACCTGGGGTCCAGAACTCTTTGAAATTACATGCAGATTGTGGGTTTGTGGGTATGTACGTATGTACATATTTTTCTGGGAGAGAAGACCTGTAGTGATTGTAAAGTTCAGGGACCCCTCCTCTTAAAAGAAGAAAAAGAAAAAACAAGGAAGGAAGAAAGAAAGAAAGTTGAAGAATTGCTGCCTGGAAGTGTTTTTAGTGTCACTGTAGGAAATGGAGCCCTGGACTGAATGATTTAGTTAGATGATGACTGTCAAGTGCCTCTTGGCTCTTTTTTTCCTAACAATTCCATTAGAAAGTGTTTTCTGATTAATAATGCTTTTCTCTTCATTCTGCTGTTGCAGTTGTTTTTCCAGGTGGTGCTGTTGCATATTCTCCCCTTATTTCAACAAAGCTTTAATTAAATGTCCGAGCTAGGTCTTGATGGATACAAGGCTGAATAAAATGCAGACTCTCTCATCAGGGATGACAGTCTACTAATAGTTTCATTTCACATAATTTCTATAAGGTCAGTTCTTAATATATTTTAACCACAAGGCAGCCGTAGCAGTCCAGGCTTATTTCACTGTTTATCCCTCCGTAGTCTAACAGTGGCACCAAGACATCTTGAATACCTGTACTTCAGATTTTAAGATATACGATAATTGGGAGTGAAAGAATCTTGATAGGGAAGACACACATTCATTATTCTAATTTAAGTATTTCTCAGTCATGTGTGTATGATCATGTCTCTTGCTCTTCATTTAGTGTCCTAGGAGTTAAGTAGCGCTTTCCACATTTGTGTTCTTTTAAATGAAACCAACTTGAACGCATTTTGTCTGTGCACATTTCTGTTGACACGGCTCCTATTTGTACAGTATTCCAAGCACCTTCAAGACTTCCAGAGCGCTCGTCTGCTGTGACTCGGGTCCATAGGGATGTATCCCACAGAGAGATTGCCTCAAAGCCCAGAGAGAAAGGGATGGACTGCAGGTGCATTGAAATCTTACCAAATGAAGACCTCCATGTTATTTACACATTATCCAAACTGGGACACATTGTATCCTATGCTGAGTTGTGAGGTTTTGGAGTTTTTTGTTTGTCTGATTGTGAATTTTTCCCAAATCTACTCAATTGGCTTTTAAGAGATGGTAATCATACAATTTAAGATACAGTAATTTTTTAATTATCTTGCACAAAGATAATAACCCAAAACAGTAAGATACTATGTCTTTATTCTACAAAATATGACCAAAGTCAAACTGTCTGGGGTCAAACTAATCCATTTGCCCTTAATGCTGTCTATCTCTCCTCTCAGTCTTTTTGTCTGAGTGAGTAGCAGTTGTGTACCTCCTTGTGATGGATAAACACAGTCAAGTGTAGGTATTCCCATGTGAAATGTTTAGTGAACAAATCAGACACTATGCTAAGAAAAAAAAGTAAAAATAGGAGTTAGAGAAGGAAGGTACTGTGAACTGGTATGGGGAAAGGCTTCGGAAAAAGTGTGGGACTTTCTGACTTTGAAGGATGGCTTCAATTTAGATGATGGAAGGGGAGAGTCATTATAATAAAGGGAACAGATTGAAGAAAGGACAAAAAAAAAAACAAAAACCCAACCCTCTGCCGTTGAGTTGATTCCAACTCATAGCGACCCTGTAGGACAGAGTAGATCTGCCCCGTAGGGTTTCCAAGGCTGTAATCCTTACAGAAGCAGACCTCCACATCCTTCTGTGGAGCGCTGGTGGTTTCGAACTGCTGACCTTTCAGTTAGCAGCCGAGTGCTTTAACCACTGAGCCTCAGGGCTCCTTGAGCAAAATTAGCATGATCTGTAGGAATTAGGAGAGAAGGGTAGTAAGGAGTTGGGCTCATCTGAGGAATGCGGGTCGTACAGGTAAGCTGGGTAAGTGTCCTCAGTGAAGCCTAGAAACTAGGAAGAAGAGTTTCGTTTTGATGTGGATGTGGTCAGTGTTAGAGAACAATAGGTTCTTTGGCAAAGATAACAGTGTGATTGTAGCATTTTAAGATTAATTTGATAATATGTTTGGTGGAAATTGAGAGCAGTTGGAAAGCTGCTCCAGTATGCCCATTGCTGGTCAGTCAAATAACGTTGACCTGGAGTAGAACAGCAATAGTAGAAATGGAGAAGAAATATGAATTAAAAGTCAGAAAGCAATCTCTGGTGACTTCCTTAAAAAGGTATAGATGGAAGCCAGATTTCCAGGATTAATGAGGATATGGATGTAGCAGTCATTGGCTACTTATTTAAGACATTTGGCAGCAAAGGGGAAGAGAAAAACCAGATGATTGACTGATTGATAAAGCGATAGATAGATACATACATACATCTTGGAAGGCATTGCTTTAAGATAAGAGAGAAACCTAAATATTTAAAGGCAGGATATAAAGAGCCAATTGAGAAGACGAGATTGACAGTGCTGAAGAGAAGCTTAGGTTAATCCTACAGAATAGCAGATTTCTTTCAGGTGGTAGAAGATAAACTCCTGAGACGAGTTTAGAGTTTGATTTAGAGACGTAGGATGTATCGTGCCTCTGTGATTTGTAAAAACGATGAGATGATCTGGGAAGGCATGAGATTAAAAAAAATGAGATGCAGGGACTCATTTAATGTCAGTGTATTATATACATTATTGTTTGAAAATGGAGATAAAAGAGTAGAATTGGGAGTCCGTAAAGAAAGGCGATTAAAAAAAAAACTTTTGTGAGAATAAGCCTAGAAGTGCATTAGAAAGAAATTAAAGAATTGCTGAGTAAAGATATGAATCAAACTAAAGAGTTTCAGAGTTCAAATATGTGTGGTTTTGTATGTTCCTCTGGTTCAGCACAATGGATCAGAAGTAGAAAAAGCAAATATTGAGAGTTTGGTTTGAACTGAAGAACCAAGGACATAAAGACATTCTAAAAGGCAAGCTTGTGATCAAGAAAAGGGACGCGTCACTGAGGCAGAAAAGACCCAGTGGTGTGAGTGAAGGGAGACCAGTGGTCTTAGACTTTAATGAGGACTAAGAACAGGTAAAATGTTGTTAAGAAGTGACAGGAGATGGTGGTCAGTGTGAGGACCACTCACTGCTCATTGGTGAGTGAGAATTGAAGGAAGGATGGTGGATAGATGTCTACCATGAGGACCAGAGATTGGAAAGAAGGCTAACTGTCTTAATCCCTAATGTCTCTTCTCAGCCTCTGCCCCCTAGTCCTTTCTTGAGAGTAGGAAGTCAGACTATATGAGAGAACTGTAGAAAATATTGTATTGCCTTGCCTGGGGACTCCTGGGTCAGGTTTCCTGTAAGTGCAAAAGAAAATGATCCAAAGGAAAACTCCCACCAGTGGAATGAACACCCCTTCCACAGAGCACAAGGGAGGACGTGGAAGCAGAGTGGGGAAGGCCAGCTGCAATGGGACAGGTGCGCATAAGCCCAGGAGGTGGGAGGGATTGGTAGCAGTGGTACTTAGGATGGGGAAGATTTGCACAGAGGGACTCTGTTTCACCCAGTCAGCTGAGGGGCAAGTGGTAAACCTTAAAATATTCCCTATTTCTGTGTGGAGTACTGCTTCAACATAAGCGTCTGGGTAAAGCACCTTTTATACCCCCACCTCCAAAAAAAGGCTCTGATTTGTGTGGTTGATTCACTAAGATTTTATTGCCGGTAATTGCAGACTACATTAATAGTTCCCAGTCTTTTATACGGTTGATACCGTGTTTGGTGCCTGGACTCCTACAGAAGGAACAAAGTGCTCCATGAGGAATTTTCATTTTCATTTTTCTCTATTTTGAGAATTTCATAATGTTTCAGGAGGTTAATGCAGATATTATGAGTTGTCACAGTCAGTCTTGGGAACCACTGTTACCATGTACTCAAATGTTAAAAAGTGCTGTGACAGGAAGTAGTTAACCATTGCAGTGGAGACACTCAGGATACTTGCTTTCCAGAACAGGTAAAAATGGAAGCAACCATCTGATAGTTTTGTAAGGGTAATAATAGTCCTTCTGTCTTCATAACAGTTAGGATTATGTAAGAAAGAATTTGCTCAGCAAAAGTAATCTATAAGCCTAGCTGTCTATACAGGTGTGAAGTTGAATATGTGTGTGTGCACATGTGTGGGTTTGTATACAATAATCTTTAGTTAAATCCTCCGCTTAGTGAATTCAACAGGAAAAAGTCTCAAGCCATCTTTCTGATTCCTGCTTCTTTCGGATTAATTCCTATGTTAATTAATACCGTATTTATATACAGTCTTTCTCTAAAATCTTTTATTATTATTTTTAAGGAAACAAAGACGCTACAAGACTGGTGCGTACCTTGCCCCTGCTTATGTGTTTTTGTGAATGAATATTTTCATAACTTTTTTCTCACCAAATGCCACTCCCACTACTAAGCATACCCATCCCATGTCACACTCTTTGGAAAAGCCTAAGGAAAGGATAATAAGAAAAAAAGATTTGTTTTAGAGTCATAAAAGTCCAGACCTGTGATAGACATAGTCTTTAACAGTCTGCCTTTTAAAGACAATATAATAGTAATAATGATAATACTAAACAGGACTCAGAAGGATTATGATTTATCCACAGTCAGTTCTAACAGCAATGTAAAGTTCCTTTAGCCCTCACATCTGACTTTGCTTTCACGTATGTAACCTAGTGGAGAAGAAACTTCTCAAGATTCAGGATATGTCTCTTCCCTTAACTTTGTTGTGTCTTACAGTTTGATTATTATAGTAATTCTCTCAAATCAAGGATTTTTAACTGAGTATCAGTGCAAATAATGAGTCGAAGGCTTTCAAAGTGCCCGTCTACTGGCAGCTCTTCCCACAGGTCCTGGAAGTTGTCACATCAGCCTTGTGTTAAATGTGGCCCAGGGATCTTGAATACCTTGCGGGGGGAGGGTATAACCTTGTAGGTACTCTTAACGCAGACTTAATTACATAATTACCCGTGTCCGAACAAAATAAGGAGTAAAACAGAGGTGGAATTCAATTTACGGAAGTACCCAGGATTTTCTGCAGTGCTAAAGAACATTTAAGTACCAACATGCATGACCACTAGACCTCTGACGTCCCTGTTACCGAATGAAAAAAAATGGCACCCACCGAAAGGTTTGACCTGAGATTCATCTTTGAAGAGCTGCCCCATAAAACGATAGCATATCTGCTGATTTTTTTCAGTCAAGGAGATTGTTGCTTTCAGCATAATGAAACAGAGGGAAAGTTCCGCAGGATTAAAAGACCGTATCATCACCATCTCCAAGAAGAAATGCAAGAAAGCTGACTGCGATCAACCTTTGTAGCCTAGCACTGTTTTCTCGAGTGGTGAGATCTTGTCCCAGGGACTGTGCTAGTGTTTCCGCCCTGCTGTTAGTCTTGCATACTGAAATAGTGTGTCTCCAGAGCAGAACGCAGTAATCTCGAATCTAACTGTGGTGTATTTAAACGCTGTCATCTTATATGTTAGCGTTTGCAAGAAATCTGACATCTGTGAGGTGGTTTACGTTTTCCTTTATCACATCTATAATTTGAGTACCCAACTAAAGGCAGAAGAGGCCCTGGTTTATTATTAGTTCATCAGCCAAGTAGGAAGGTTTCTCATTGCCTTACAGCTGAGTCTTGGATTGCGTACCATAGCTCTACTTGTGTTTTCTCTATTAAAAAATAGAAGTTTTTATTAATGTTTATGGATTGCGGATATATCCACCCCTCCCCCTCCCATTTAGAGTAAGATTTGCTACTAGGTATGTATGTATCTTTTTACTTCTGAATTGTTAGCGTTACCTCTTAACCTAGCTGTGGTCTTGCCCTGGTCCCAGGCAGGGGTAACATACTTTTGAGTTTTAGTCTACTCAGTGCTGCTAAGTGTAAACTACCGGGACCTCACCTATGCTTTAAGTGGTAGATAATTTTTCAACTGGAATGAGGCATATTACTAAAGTAATATGTCATCTCCAAATAACAAGCTTTCAGGTTGTAATTCTTGACCACCGTGAGTCTTCTCGTTCTGATAGCTGTGCTCTTGTCTGCCCAGTCTTTGGACAAAGACACTGTTTCTCAGCAGAACTTAACCATAGTTAGAGGGGATGTCACAACTGCTTTCAGTGTGATTCTCCTGCCAGCTCCCTGACAGGCCTCACTTGGCCTTTTTCAAAGGAGAACACTCTCTCCCCGTTGGCCTCTGAGTGGTTTCCTCAGAGTCTCTCAACTCAATTATCAGGGTCACCGTGCCCTTTGTCTCCCCAGTAACCATTCTACTAGCCTTTCAGCTTATTTCTAGACTGGCTTTGGATTTTTAGTGATCATATTCTTTTTTTAAAAAAAAATCTCTCTTTTAAATCAGAACGACACATTTACACAAAGCACAGTCTGGATTTTGGAGTAGATTGAGGAGCAGCCCTTGCACTGTGAAGTGTGGAGTTGATAAAAGGTTTTTGACGTTATTAGGCTTTGACATTTTTTACTTCCCCCGACTTCTAAGGTGATTCTTGCTCTTTTAAAAATCACTTAATACTTCTAAACAATATGGCTGCAGTTCAAAGTTTTATACATAAATGTGATTTTAATAGAATTGATTTTTTTTTTACTGAAACATTAGTTTTATTTCAGTATAAAGCTCCAAGATATCATGAAAGAAGAACTGCAGTTTCTAATTTATATTTGAGAATATGTTCATGTACCTGTCCTCCTTCCCTCTCTCCCTCCCTCCCTTCTTTCCTTCCTTCTTTCATCAGAGTCTTTTGCCTTGTTAAATGCTGTCCTCCACAGAGTAAGTGTAGGTCTGGAAGGGGCTAATGCTTTCTGAATCGAGACATCACTTAAAAATTGGAATAAAAAATTTTAATTTTCTCTAGTATGTGAATAAATAATGAGGAAGAGAAAAACAAAATAATCACACATTTTCATAGCTAAAATAGTTAAATTTTAAAATACACATGCTTGTTTCAAAAAGCAGACATTTATTTAGAAAATAATCTTTAACCTTAACAAGTATCTCTTGGTTTGAGTTACTAGATCAATGAAAAAGAACTCTCTGAGATGTGTGCTTGATCTCTTGGAGGTGTTCCTTACTGTGACTGTACCTGTATCTGTATCACTTAGTATAAAATATTTTCTGAAATAGCTTATTTCTCTGAAATAAAAGAAAGTTAATCATGGTTTTAATGCTTAAAAAGATATTTTATGAGAATGAAGCTCATAACTGAGTTATGAAGAATTTGTCAAGTAAAATCTTTTTTTCAGAAAAATGGGTAATTTTAGTTGTCTTCTTTGGGATTTATGTAGCTTTGATTTAAATCCTTAAGTAATCCTATGCTGATAGGAGCCATCTTGCCCCAAAAAAGAAGAGACTGGCTCACCTTCACTTTTGAAATGAAAGTGGACTGTGTAATCAGATATAGTAAAGAGCTCAGATTTGGTGTCTGAATAACTCAGAAAATTTGGAAAGCTTTTAATTTGGAAAATTATGAACACCGAGAGTCTTAGGAATTTCAGTAGACACATAACTCTAAGGGAATTTGCTGCTTAAGTAACAAAATACTTTGGTTTAAATGCAAGTGTGAAGAGAAACCT